AAAAAAAAAAAAAAGACAGGCAAATGTTGAAAGCACAACTAGGGATCTTCTAGAAAACCAATGCTTCCTCTAGAGGCAAGAGGAGACGACTAAGGTTTTCTGATCCAAAAGCATGTAAGCTGAGGACATCCAAGCAGTCTGCAAGGCACTCCCTGTCCTGTCCAACCATTCACACCTCTTATAAATATCAATGTTTCAGGTTGGAAACCTATCTGAAGGGGCATGCCAAGTTTTCAACACCTTCTGAAATACCTAGTAAAGGTAGAATAGCTTTTGCCTTGGTACATGGGCAAAGGTGGCCAGCCCTGCGAACCTCACTCAGAGAAGCGTGGCCAGGAATGCCTGGGGTGGGAATGATGAATCAAAGGAAAGGCAGCATAGTGGGTTCCCACACCTGCCTCTCTTTTCAACCTTGTCAACAAAGGGGTAAACAAAGTCTGAGGCTTCTGCTTCAAAAGTTCTGTGGTACTGCTGACAAGCTTTATTACTCTATTCGGTGAAAAAAAAATTATCAAACATTTTTCCTTCAAAAATTTTGGGGGAGCTAGGGTAAAGAAAGGGAAGGAGCAGGGCAACAGAGGAATAAATACAAGTAGAAATGCAAAGCCATGGTTACCTTTCCTTGCTGCTGCCTCTTTCCTGAGCTTCCTCAATTTCTCCAAGGCCCGAAGAATGTCCACCATTCTTTTGGTGTCTGCTTGCTTCTTCCTCACTTCAGATAAGACACCATCAGCAGCAGCTTTAAGTTCCTGCTCCTGGAAAAGAGAGTCCATGAGAAAGACCCTAGTATTAGGAACAGCCTTACAGCAGAGAACAGCTGCCTAGAAGGTAGATTTCAGAAGAACAGACAGTTGCAGGGTTAAGAGTTTCTACTGGATCTCCATCTCAATTTCCTAGGCTGGACGAAATTCCTCTCCTACACTGGTCCAGCCAAGGGATTATCTTCTCTGCAGTTTCCATGTGGGTGCTGATCTTTGTTTCTTCCTTGGAATTTCTTCAAGTGTAGTCCAAGGAACATCTGCATCAACTTTAAGTTGGGGCTCTCTTATTAAAAATGTAGACTCCCGGACCTAAAGATTCAGATTAGGAGGGAAGATAAGGAATGGGTTGGAAGGGCCAGGACTCTACAGTTCTGTCAATGACACACAACACGTATGGCTTGTACTCCAGTGTTCTTAAGTGCCTAGGATCTTTTGACATGACAGCCTTTCAAACACTGAAGACCCTATCCTACTCTTCTTAAGTTGGTTCACATGTAGACAAAATGACTCCGGTTCCTCATGTGGTTGGTAAGAAAGATCCTTTTGCCTAAAGCTCTCTTCCCATCTATCAAATAAATGCCTATAATTCCACCATTACAACCACACCATGCTGTTTCCGTCTTCTGCTTCTATTACCCTCTCTGCACCTGTTGCTTTCACTTTGCTTTGACATCTCCTTTAAGACTCAGTTCAGATGTCACAATATCATCCACAAAGCCTTCCCTTACACCATCCCCCAACAGACTGGATATTCCTTCTCTGGGTTCGATAGCACCTACAGTTGAAACCCTAACACATACCATGCTGTACAGACATGGTCCCCATGAGGCTCTAAGCCCCTCAAGGACAAGCACTATATCCTATTCATCCCTATCACCAGCATTGGGTCTGGCACATAATGGGTCCTTATTAAATGTCTGTGGAACTGATGCTAACTCCCTTAGATTATGGTGCTGCCTCCAAGTATTCTCCTTTAAAGCACAGATATTCCTGGAAGTGTGAAGACAAATCTTGCCATCGCATTTCAGCGGGGAGTTATCAGATTCTAGGGCAGTAACAGACACAAGGAGGAAGAGGAGGGAGGAAACCCTAGCTGGTTGTAGAGAGTGAAGGGAGGGCGGCAAGCACCTAGAGGCACTCAGAAATAATGAACATGCCTTCAACTATCTGATCAATTTCCATTTTCACCCTGGCCCCTAGGTAAGATCAAAAGACTTTGGAATCAGCCAACCTGGGCTCAGATCAGGAGTAAAACTGCTACAAACCAGTTTGTGATTGTTGGCAAGTTAGCTTCTCTACGCCTCAATTTCCTAATCTGTAAAATGGCGAGAATATGGTTTACCTCTCAGCGTTGTTACAGGGATTAAAGATCTGGCATATGCAAAGGCTTTAGCATAGTGTCTAGTATGCAGCAAGTGCTCAAAAACACCACTGTTAAACCTGGGGATATGTGGTTTAAAATTCCTAAACAAAGTAATCCTGGGCAAGTCATCACTACTGCCCCATCAGCCAATTAGGGTAAGGCACCAAGTGCTCTATATTTTGTATTAAAATCAGCGAACCAATACAAGAAACAAGGACCCATATTTTTGTTCGCCTTGAATGTTAGTAAGTGGACAAAACATTGTAGCAGGAAACAGGGCGTCTGTAATCCCTGCAACGTCACTGTGTAATCCTATACTTTGTATTTACAGGACCCGCAGTACACCTTGAGCATTTGTGTTCTGTACTATGCATCATTTACACGCAATCAACATGAAGACGAGGTCGGAAAGCCTGGCTACCTTATTATTTTACGAATGAGGAAAAGGAGGCTTAAACATGGGAAACGACAGCGCAAAGCCTCACGGCCATTCAGGTTCCAAACATCACTACCTCCAGCCCCTGCGCATCTGTTGCTGCTCTTACCCGCTTCTTCTCCTCCACCTCCTGCACACATTTGACCCTCCAAAGGTCAATCTCCTGCTCGCGCTCCGCTGCTCGCGCGGCCTCAGCCTCCCGCTCGGCTTCGCGTTCCCGGGCCCTCTCGCGAAGCCGCAGGCGGCGGCGCCGGACCCTCTCCAACCTCCGCCGCGCCTCACCCACATAGGCGGCCTGGGTTAGCAGCTGTAGTCTCTCGGCCAGTTGGGCGCGCAGCGGCGCGGCCTGGGCATGCAGCAGTACCCAGGCCGCGCCATCTGCCTCGGCCTCGCGCAGGGCCTGGCCCAGGTCTCGCAGCCGCCGCACCAGGCGCAGAGCCCCGCGCAACCGCGCGCGCACTTCCCCCAGGCTGGGC